ACAATGTTTATATAACTTAGTCATAAATAGTAAAAACAGGAGTAGTGAGGAAATAGTCAGTTCATGGTTAGTCTAGAACAATAAAACATATAACAATTAGTTATAACAGAGACCTAAGAGTACAAAATTACATGAATCTACTGATTAAACAATAGAAATATAATTAATGATCTTTCGAATTACAATTTCACGTATAATATTCTTTATACAGTACACATTGCATTACATTAGTAATGCATGCTCATTATCATTTTTCTATTTAAGACGAAAGTGTTTAATCATAAAAATAATCGGTCATTAAAAAAATCATCGAAATGTTCACAAAATAATGAGACAGAATCTATACAAATGAATTAACAGATTAGTACATAGATAACTTGAGTTTCATCTAGAAAATTCTCTTATCATCTAAGATAGCGGTGTTTAACTCATCATTTATATGACCATCGTTTGATGCGTGCATAACACAAGTTAAATATATGTCATAGAAACTAATCTACAATGTCATTGTAAACCAAATTCAACACATTATCGTGGTTTGATAATAGTTGGGAACAAATTTATTGATCATTTTGACCTTAATTATTATGAGACTATCACAAATATAATTTTACATTCAATATCTCCTCTACACTCATGTCTAAACTCTATGCAACTGATATAATAGGATGAAAAGGCGAAATGACATTCTTTTAATCATTGTGATTTTTGTCCAATATCACTTCCGTTTTTAATCTAATGTGATGACTGTGTTGCGTTACGTTTGTTTTCTTCTGTATTGTTTGTTAGTTATAACATTAATTTATTTAAATGGAGTGTTTGTTCAAGTTACGTTATTCTTGTCTTATATATATATATATATATATATATATATATATATATATATATATATATATATATATATATATATATATATAAGCAGACCAGGATGTATTGCACTGTAGAGCGAGTGAAGGCTGCAATTAAACGCAACTCAATTTCGTAAATGTGCCCTTCAGCTTAGCAACCAATCAGAATGAGGCGGGAATTATTACATCCGCCATCTTTGTAAGCAATGGCGATCGGCCTTCTTCGTTCTCTGCTTCTTTCAGCTATTTCTTTTGTGTAGCTATGTAATTCAATGTCTCAGTATGCTAAAATGCCGCAGTTAGTGTAATATTCGATATGTTGGTGTGAAGTTTATTTCGAATCAGCCATGTTTTCTGCGTTTTTGCTGCTTCTACTCAAGTCAATGTATTTCTTCGGGCAATCTGGCTAGTCTTGTGTTATAAAATGTCGGCCGGCTTTCTTCGTTCTGTGTTTTTCCGCTATTTCTTTTGTGCAGCTACAGAATTTGACGTTTCAGTGTGCTAAATTCCAGAAGTTAGTGTAATACTCTGAACGTTGAAGCAAAATTTTTCCTGATTTTGCTTTGTTTTCTGGGTTTTACCTGCTGCTAATGAAGTCACTGTATTTATTCAGCTAAGCTGGCCAGTAGTAACATAAGACCTTACGTTTTTAAACGACAATCGGTTATGTTTTACCTTGTTTTCTAGATATCCGAAGCCGAAGTTCGTTTTCATTTAGCTAAAATAATTGTTGCTACCGTCTGTGACTCTAACTGTTCGCATGTTCGTTCCTAACTGTCCTTTATGAAATGTCATTGGGCAGTCGGGTCATTGAATATAAGACAGTTCATCGATCCTCATCAAGGTCAAAAATAGCTAATGCGTTTCATGGACTGACCCATGAAGCAGTGGTCACACTTTGTTGCATTTACCTACTATTACTGGTAGGTTTCCTTATCAACGTTGTCTTTGTCACACGGTCATCAACGCATCCATAGTATTTTGATACAACGAAAGGGTAGTTTACGTCAAGTACTAACCGTGATATGTGATTTCGACGTTAGCTGGTTGATCGCACTGTAGTGACTCACATTTATCACGAGAACACGACTGGTTTAATAGAAACAATTATTATTATAACCAACTGTACCAGTGTTTATTTTAATGTGCTTTTGTTTGACTGTGCTAATGACATCTATATTGTGCTTCCATTCTTATTCTTACACTTTGATTGTGACTTCGCGCGAATTCTGTTACGTTCTGTGACCAAGCTTGTATCCTGGCACGATCTCGATATCCTTTCGATACCACGTGATCGCCAACGAATATATCTCGATTTTGTCCATTAATTGCCTTCTGATATTTGGCTTCTCGGTGATTTTATGGATTTATTTGGTTACGTTCAACCTTCGCCTTCTGATTTGCTTGGCATGTGTTTTTTTGGTAGGGGTGTTCATAGTTAATCTCGACTCGACCCCACGCTACAGCATTATTCCCATCCAACTCGAGTAAGCCCCGATCATTTGGCACAGATCATTTACGGTTATGATCTACAACACAATGAAATGAAAAATAACAGTTATATAAGACCAAGTCAAGTGATAAACTGTAAATAATGAATCGGGAATAAATTAAGAACAGTAAAACGTATAATAAAAATTAACGACTAAAATAAAAGCTTATATTGAAAGGAATGTAAATATGTAAAATATATTTGTCTAATAATAATGTCATAAGAATATGTATAATAATAGTCCATAAATATTTTTGGCAGCTACAATTCACTTATTCTCCGTTCACATATGATACTATAGATTGCAGTTAGTTGAAGAATGGCACTTTCCCGACTATGAGTGACATCATATTACGGTGGAATTGTGAAATCATGGTCTAGTTCAATATTGGGACATTGGTCTTTGTCTTTGTGATAATAGATCTAGTACTAAAGCTTTAGAATGATATGACCACCTAATCTACATGATCTTACATGAAAGCCACACCATAGTCTACACCGACATTTTCTGTCTTGACAATCAGCAATGTGACGTCTAGAACTTCTGAAGAACACAATTGGGCTGAGAACAGAGTAAAATATTAGATATAAAAGGCAAAAAGTTACATAGACTGACCACGCCTGCATGACCAGGCCATATGTGGTGTTTGAATGAACTAATGATTCTTCCTTATTTGTTAAATGCTTGATTTCGAATTCTAAATACAGTACATTCGTTTGTTCTTATCTAGTACTTCATGATCCAGTTGTGTTATTTTTGGGATTCTTAGTTTATACTATAATTCAAGTACTCCTAATTATCATACCATGCCATTTCGATTGATTGTTCCCTAGCTCACCATTATTGATCTACACTCCGTATTCACTGTTGAATGTGAATCTTCCTAGTTATCCTATATTCAACTTTGAGGGTCAAGTGGTTAGAACCAATACCACTACAGAATGTTCATGCGTTTGCAATATTGGTGACTTAACACTGAACCTATTTACTGATTGTTAACAAGATCTCATATTCAGCGATCTAGCAAAGGTCATGATGTTTCTTTCAACTTCACAGAAAACCAAAACCTAGGAAACAAATATTTGAGTGTAAGACAGCTTCATCGCGGTCTGTGTACACTTTTGTTCTGTCAACCATAAACATCTCTTATCACTTTTCGACAACTTCTGAGAAGGAATTACGGAAGCAAAACGACTTGCCCATCATTCTATGCTGGGACAGACCAGTTAGTCACTGTATACCTCTCAAGAGTGAATTATTAACTGAAGCAGCCACATAATTTCAGTTGGCCTTTTTTGAGTCGAAGCCGGAAACCCAAGATAACACTCAAAGCCGGAACAAATTCTGTGATGCCTAATACTCCTTGAATTTCGCTTTGCATTCTTCCTTGGGTGTCCTAACTGGCGACAGCAAATCCCGATGATGAATCATTATACGAAGAAACAAACTCAATGAATTTGAATTATTCTCACTGTACATTATTAGTTACCAAGAGGACTACACATCAAGTGTCTAATGGCCTCTTTTTCATAACTTTGTAGCGATTCACGGCCGAAATCAGCACTTGATGTCATTGTTCTAAAAAACCACTAGTCAGTTGCTTAGCCGAATATTCGTAGATTTCCTTTGAAGTGGGATTGATTCCTAATTACACGACTTTTGAAGCCGAGAATACACTTATTGAAAAGATTTACGTTCAACATGTAACACTAAGAGAAGATCAACAATGGTGAACGCAGCAACAAGGAATCGGTATGGCATGGCTCGTCCTTGAAGACATAGTCGTTTTGTGTAACCCGTACCTTCTCACATTCGATATATTACTTCATCCCTAGCCGAAATATGTTCTTCAAAAGTACTGAACATAATATTGATGATTGCCAAGACAGAAAAAGTCAGCGTAGACTATGATATGGCTTCCATGTAAGATCATATGGATTTGGCAGTCACATCATGACGAATTTGACATTTCGGAATTAGGTCTGCGATATCGGTAGCGAAAATAAATGGACTATTACCACAGTAGACGACAATTACACACTCTAACTATTCAATTAAATGATGAAACTCCGAGTTGCTTTTTGTATGAACCTAGCAGAAAGATAACACCTACATTTTCTACAGCCGTGACTCCTTCAACGTTCAGGCGACGTTTAGCCTGGACATTTCTTGACAGATAGTTTGAACAACAGAGGTGGCTGTTCGCTGAAAATACAGACAAAAGCTCTCACATAACTCACGTTAGTCAAGGACGGTCAGAAATAATTACCTTTAGGCTGTCTTGGCAAGCCATCTTGGACATTTTCATATTATTATTCTTTTTACTTTTAAAATCCTCCCTGTTCTTCAACTCTAATCATACAATATTCGGTGAGGCTAATCATCTGCTTCAAAACATTCTGATTCCAAAAGATTGTTACAGTAGTTCGGATCATCGAAAGTGAGTCGCTGGACGACGCCAAAGACCTGAAACCGTTAGCTAAAAACATAATTCAAGGGCAAAGAAACTGACTAGCTTGTACCAGAATGTAGTAAAGGTATGTCAAACTTTTGTCAACAATATAGAGATGCTAGCCCTCACATCGTTACACCAAAATAACTCTGAAAAGTGAGTTGTTATATTTTTGTTTGAATCTGTCAATGACTATAAGTTTTGAGTTAAAGGCGGGTGCGGGTTACAGCTGACTTCGTTATCCGCAGCGTCTGTACTTGGTATGTCTCTCCGCTGTCTGAAGGATTCTAGTTTTGTGTTCGATGATGCTTCATATAACGATCTGGAACTAGTTCACTTTCGTCTTACTGATTCTGCCTTGAAAGATATTGAGCAACTTGCTAGCAATTCAGTAAGTTTTTATCCTAGTATTATGTTGATTAACTAATAAAGGGAAACCACAAATTTAGCATTACGTTCAGTGGGTCCGAAGGAGTAATTTTCTATTATATAATTATTTCGCCTCTGTAGTCATTTATTGTTCCTGTCGGGAAAAGCAGCAGCAGATTTACATTCAGTACCTCAAGCTTAACAAGTACTCACGATGAATCTTTCAATTGCTTGCGCACCAAAGGGTAAGGAATTTTCCTTATGTAACCTACCGTTTACTCAAGAGTTTCAACTCATTGTCTGGGAAGGATGGTCTCCAGGATCACGGTTAATGCTAAGGAGGATAGCTTCTCAGCGGCTAAGGAGCGAATGACACAATTAGAAGACGAAAACAAAAAGTCTCAGACAAAAGAGATTAAATCTGCTAAATCCATGGCTTCAAGAACAGCAGCATCTCAATCCACTCACAAGCAAGGCAATCAGGGTGTGAATTTGAAGGGAAAGGGAAATGAAATTTCACCTCAGAACATAGATTTCCCTAACGTAGCCAATCGAGTTCAGTCACAGAATCCTGTTGGTTGTGGTCCCAGTCCTCCACTATCTAATCCAGACGTTTTGGCACGCTCACTGAGGTGTGTTTACTTCTTGCTTATACACATGAAAAATGTACGTGTAATCTCAGTCTGTTGGCACTCTAATATACCGTAGTGGTTGTTTGGAAGTTCTACATTGAATGGATTGTTTTGGCTCTGAATCAATGGCTGTTGAAGTACTTACTTTTTATTAGTGCACTATTAGTTGGTAAGACTCGTTTGTCTACCATTTGCAGATCATTCTTCGTTTAGTCGCAATAACATCTCAAGTAATAAAGATTTGCCATCGTTTAAATATAACTTAATCATTTGTGGTGCATAGTTATATATATATATATATATATATATATATATATATATATATATATATATCGTATGATCAAATCCTGGTTGTACGTAACCAACAATCTAACTGAGAACTTTTATATTTGGGAAATTTATCATGGCATTCCACTGTAGGTTTCTATCTTATTGTTCTTACTACATTATACATTTATATTGAAACCATACAGCTGTGTACATTATATCTGAGTAAATACGGTAGTATTATATTACTTGGTGATAGTTTATAATTCCCGAAGCGTAACTCGTTTGATTTTATTTAATATAAAGTTATTGGTCATGTACCGTAAGGCCTTCTTACTTCTAGTTGTAGGTTTTATGGATTTGAATATTAACCTGCCTGCTCCTACGTTGAAGTTGACTGAATGACTTTTATTTGTTGATGATCTTATCGGTCATAATCAGGTTAAGTATTTAACGGATTCACTTTTGTAAAAAGCGTCAGTTTCACTAGCTTCTTTTTAATGTGATATAGGTGTTGCTGACCAACCACATAAGTGCGCATAATTTTCTGATTATAATTACAATTTAGGAGTAGTTCAAGTTCTGTGAGAAGTTCTTTACCCTTGCTTTGCTTTGTTTTCTTGAAATTAGCTCAAAGTTAGCCTTTTTGCTATGATACTGTACACGTGGGTTCCACTGGCTTTAAAGTACCATCTTTCGCGTAATATTTTGACATGTGCTTAGTAATATTGGTTATTGTAAGTCATTTGTGATATGCCTCGATAGTCGTGACCTACTTGAGAAGACAGTATATGATTAATTTCGACATAAATATGGTTTAGTTTGTAACATTGTATCTAATTTGTGAACCATATTTTTAAATTCTCCTTGGTTTGGTCAAGGGTCTCATAAGTACTTGTTCAATTTAATATTATAAAGGAAGCTACCTCAAATATAGGGATGATGTGTTTGGTGATAATTGGGTTTAGTGCGCCTAATATGGATAACGCTTTGTTAGTGACGTTTGGTGTATAACTTCCGTTTCATGTCAAGGCACATTATTGCCGGTCACTATATGAAAGATGTGTACCTACGTTCGAAGGTTAGTTTTGTTTGCTCTGTGACTTCCCAATTGTTTTTTAAAACCATATTATTTATATATTATACTTTTCCATATACATTTTAGAGAACGCATTATTCACATACTGGCATTACGGCCTTATCAGCGCCCCGAATTATTATTACGGTTGTCTCGTGATGGCCTATCTCATACCCAGAAAGACCAAATATCCGACATATTGTCGTCAGTGGGTCGTGTTGGAAGACAGTCGGCATATTACCTTATACCGTCTGTGGTATCAGAATTAGATGAAAACTGGCCAGGTTATACTGGTGCTGAGAGAAAACGGATCATTTCTTTGAAGGTTAGTTATTAACTTTTAAGTTGTTGATCTGTATAACGTGCTGATTATTGCTTCGGCTTCAACAGACAATGTTGCTGATTCTCGTTGCTTGTTATCTGATATGTTAAATTCTTGTTGTCTCATGTCCGAAACTCTACTTAGCTCAGACCAAACAGTTGTTTTGTGTATTTTAGACTGAATTTTTAAGTTAATTTTCATCATTCGGCATTTTGCTTTTTATCCAGACTAGTCAGCAGTCTCAAACTCCTCCCAAATCTCCCACTGACCGATCTCGAACCGCTTCTCCTGACAACTCGTCCACCCCCTCTGACGACCAGTTTACTCGACGTCCAACACGAGCAAATGCTCCTTCGGCACCTCATGCATTGAGTAAGAAGATTGCTGCACTAGATATGTTGTGTGCAGGTGTGAGTGATGTGGAAGTTGCCGCCCGTCTGGGAGTATTCCGTGGACTGTTGGATCAGTGGCGAGCCAATGAATCAGAACTTCGAGAGGTGAGAATATTCCTATGTTGACTTTGTAAAATTTTGTTCAAGTCGTTTGCAGATCTTTCAATCATTTTTCATAGTCAACAGTGGACTTAACAAGAGTTATCGTTGTGTGCAGACATCAAGCAACAAAATATAGATTACATTTTTGGTATATATTACATGAATGATCTCTCTCCTAATATATTAATACTACCTACTTTGTGTTCCCAGATTAGCTGTCTTTCCTATAAAAGTAACTTGACATCATTCATATTAGATTTTACTCCTCAAATCTTCAGTGAAAATTAGTTTTAATTTTAATTTTTGTAGTATTCTGCCTTTGCGATATTAGTATTAAAGTATGGTAACCTCATTTTTTATATGGTTTCTTTGGTTTTTGCCACATTTCGGCAGCCCTTCGTAGATGACTAAATCTTTATACATGGAGTAATTGCATAATCCATGTAATCACTTTGTCTAGGTAGAGATCCTTATATCTAAATCTACAACTCATAAAATTGAATCTTTTGATAGTTATTGATAAGTAGTAGAAAAGGATCTTACAACGTTATATAGATAAATGCGGAAAATTCGAATGTCTAGTTGTAAAATATCACTGATTTCACATTAGGATTTTAATTTCCTTGTGTCTTATTAGTTATTTTCTGTGTTAAGAAACAAAGGATGTTTAAAAGAACAATTGGTTTCAGTAACTTCTACTTGTACACTAGTTGATTGTCCGGGACTATTAGTCCCGGAACTGAGAGAGTTGTGTAAATGAGTGAATATTTGGATCATACAACTCAATAGCAGACTGTATTAGCTGAGTACATTTTAAATAGTTTTATCACAATTGATTATGAAAAAGTGATTGATGTAATATATATTTGCTTTTTTGTTGTTGGTAAACATTGGCTTCAGTTGTGCACCCTAGAAATTGTTTCAGAAGTTGTTTAAAGCCCAACACATTTCAAACTTGTTTACGTCCTGTTAATATTATCTTGTGATACAATTGTCTTTTCCTATTGATTATAAGTCTAAATCTACACTGAATCTGGTTGACTACTTATTTATTCTCACTCAATTGAAATCTGTGTGTTCAAGAGATCTCTAAATATAAGTCCAAAAAGTTAGACTTAAGGAAGATGATAACTTGTAGATTGACCATAAATACTATGATTAATAATTTATAGGCTTATAAATTATTTAATAGCCAAAATCATCATTTCGTACTCAGTTCTGATGTATCCAACCTAGTTTGGATGGGAACTATTTATAGATCCAATTTTATTAGCTGATAAATAAATTTCAAGATCAATCTTTATCGAATTTTCAGATATAGCAAATACATCCCAGTGTTATAATGACCAAGAGCTCTCAATGTATATCTACCCATGAATATTTGGCTTATTGGTATCATAAGTTTTATTATATTGACAGAATCGGGTTTGACTTGCAAAAAATTATTGGTTATTTTCGTAAATTGATGTTGCTGGTACAGACAGATTCTGTTTCCAATCGACTTCTGCCTAATTTCAAAAATCAAAACCCATCAATCAACTGTGTCAGTACATCACTTCTATGTATTGAATAAATCAATCAAATGTTCATATTGAAGGAAACGGTGGAGGAAACGTGTAATCCAGTGGTTTTAAGCTAAGTATCTAAAACACATTTACTACTAAGCATTTATCATTCCATTTTTCAGTTACCTTGCATACTAAATTTTATTTGTATCCAGATAATAATGTCTCATTATTGTATTTACTTTTGTTTTATTCTCAGAAATTTCGTCGACTCAATGCAAACACAAATTCAGCACCCTCAACTCAGATCTCCAGTTTTAATCAACATTCCCAGGTGTATGATAAGTCTGTCGGTGTTCGTCACCAAAATCCTACTATGTCTACTGCAAATGATGTTGTTGGCAGTCAACGTTCTACTTCAACAAATCCTGGAAATACAATTTCTCCCCATAAACGTGCTAAATTAGATGTGCCTAATACACCCTCTAGTTCTGCTGACCAACAAATAGACTTAACATATTCTACCTCTGATAAAACTGTTTCAAGATCATCCATTATGCATTCATTTCCAAATCAAAACAATGATGATCATAATAATCAAACTAATACTATTTCTCCTCCACTTCACGATAATCCTCACACACTTGATACGTATAGTCGTTCAAATCAACCTTGTACATATAATATAGCCGGTGGGAGTGAGGGAGAAAGTGCCGAACACACTCCATTCTCCAATTCAAGTACTGGTAGCAGTGGTTATGGTGGTTCAAACAACGGCTTAACTGCCTCTAGTGGAGTAGTAAACAGTAGTATTAATATTGACAATCGCCGTGAAGGATTAATAGGATCTACATCTCGATGCCATTTGACAATGTCTGTTCATTCTGAATGCTTGTCTAGTCGCTTAAAAGCTGAAGATCAATTGTCTAATGGTAAGTTTAGGGTATTTCTTAATATAATACTATCAGTTCGAAAAATTAATAGTTTGTTCGAGAGTATGCAGATAGTGAAATGAAATGACTAGTTTTCTTATATCATGCTAAGTTGAATTGTGGCGAGTATAATGTGATTAAAACTAAATGTTTAATTATAACAAATCAGTTTACCAGTGATAGCTAGTTTTCAAATCTTTTTATAACGGTTATTGATCCTTAGTGGGACCAGTTTTTCTTTCTGTTAAATGATTTATCATTTACTTCTGTTTGAAATGCTAGTATACTCACTTGTCTTGTAAATCTTATACATCGTGTATAAAATGCAAAACAGTACAACTGAACAATTTGCATGTTTATATACTATTATTTTTGGCTTACCAGTGTTACACAACCCCATAATCCTTGTCTTAGGGTTTAATGATATTACGAAAATATTTGTCGATTGTTTATTGAACTAGTGTAAAATTTCAGTTGGTTTTCAAATACCGAACCTCCATTGTTTTGTAGTGGGTGAAATTAAGAGTATTTGTTTGTAATTAATAATCCCTACTGTAATACGTACTTTTCCTGCCGGCCAGTCAGCCATCATCATTATAGTCTGAGACAAATATGCCTTAGCTCAAGTTGCTATTCCTTATCACTCTAACGAGACATGACTAATGAGAAAAATACGATGAGTCAATATAATAGCGATATCAACAATAGTGAGGGAGACTGGAGATTTTGAATGTTAGAATGAAATGGTATGTGTTGAGGTATCCTTGAGCTCGAGATCTAAAGAAATACTGATTGAATACATCTGTACCATCGTGACCTATTCTAAGCTATGCCACCTAGCGCCTGTAACCGCTGATATCGATTATCATGCGGTTCCTAATCAGGTAGTTTACACCTGTCAAAGTGTTTCTATCCAACAGACAATGCCTTCGTAGACTGATGGTGTGTCCTGGTTTCATCACTCGTTCTTACTCCAGTTAACGTTCTGGTTGAGGCAAATAGTGATTGGATAGAGGTAGCACATGTCCTGATCACACCAACCGATAGGATTCCACTACCTCTTCAACTGGTTTGCTTATCAGTTTGCACTATCACTGCTCACTCAGTTGCATGCACGACTAACGCTTTGAAGACACCTATATCCAAACACTTAACTAACACTTGTCTTTCACTTTCATAAATCATTTTTTGAAAACCGTAGTGTAGTACAGAGAAGACTGCTGTACGATATACTCTCCCCTTGGAGTCAATTTTTTTAGTCCTGACGCTTTTTCTTTCCTCAATTTGAATGTTTTATTTTGAACGTCCCTAAGAGTTGACGGAAGTGTTTCAATTTCCGATTCAGGTTGTATAGGAGTGTTTTGTAACTAGTGAAACAATGTATTGAGATGATTTGGCGAGTTTATATTATATTGTTCATCATTGAGTGTAAAATCAGTAAATAAATTTGTGTATTTCATATCATATCTGACTTGTTTAAAAACATGTCCATCAACTATTATGCTCTTGATCTAAATCCTTAATTCGATTTGAAAAGCTACATAGGATATCACACTTTCACACAGCAAGTTTGATCCTAAATGAGCTTCTAAACCTGAAATTTATTACAGATTTGTATAAACGTTTTTCTGCTTCTACCTAACTCTTATTGTTTAAGTTACCTATTCACACAGTTCCATCGTATTTCAAACTTGAGATGAAAATCAATGGTTTACTTTTAACATATAAATCATCAGCAGACCTATTCCTCTGTCTAATCACCTTTAGGACTCTTTTACTCGACATCGTCTTAATTAAAATAATTAAATTAGATATTAGTTGTATGGCAACTCGAACTGATGTACGTACGTACGAAGTTCTACGTTGTTACTGACTGAACTGTACATTTCTAGTATATTCTGACCTAACTTAACCTATTCACATTCACAATCTTGTCGATTAAAAAAACAACTAACCGAAAAATGAACAAATGACTTCAGACTTTTCCGTTCTGATACTCATGCTTCCATAGTTCTCTAGTAGAACGTAATATGCCATTCATTATTTGATGAGCTGTATTTAACTTAACCCAAAATGATTTTTATGATTTTGTATTAGTATGTAGTTTCAATGTATAACAATATCTCATAGATAATTTTTCTGCCATATTTTAAGTCTATAACTGGTATTTATATTGTTATACTCAAACTGCCATCGATTTGTTTGGTAAAACAATGTGTTCATCAGTTCATAATAGTGACCATAAATTGTGTATTCTGTGTGTTGATTTTGTTGCTTATTACTTACTCACATGACTTACATAAATAACGTGGCTTACATGAAGTATCAAACTTTTTATAATCGATAGTCACTCATTTCAGTTTTCTGGGTACTATATTTCTAATCTGTTAAGCTAATATATATATATATATATATATATATATATATATATATATATATATATATATACTGATTAAACTGGTTTCTCACATCGTGTCTGTGGGATGAATTTTACAAATCCAGTAGACCAATCATCGGTCTATGTAATGTGAGATTCAAACAGGCATCACTTAGCTTCACAACCTGATATGTTATTATTGAGTTATTTAGTCCTAGACTGACCTTTTGTGCAACAACCTTAATAATTGCGATCAAAATATCAAGCGAACGACATAGAAGGCAGAGACAAAATACTAAGGGTAAAATCGACCAAAATCTCTCGGACGCCAGTTGAAGCAGAAATAAACGATTGCGTAATTAACTCTTCAAACAGCCCCTAACCAAAGTGGAAGAATGTCTTTTTCAAAAAGAACTACAATACTGAAGAGGAGTCGAAAACGAAATTCTTCGCAACGCTGGAGTCATCACTCAAAATTTCACTACTAAGTGAAGAAACTCAACAAACACCAAAACAAACGGTAGTACTCCTGGTTTAACAAAAGAAAAATTACTATCAATTAACTATGCGAAAACAAAAGGCGTTAACATAACTGAAAATATAGAAAAACACAATCATAATTCCTGCTGATAATGAATAAACCACGATATTCATGGATGAAGAAGACTACATTCAGAGGTCTGAGGAGGTACTCAAAGACGATAGTGCATATCAATCAATGGGAGATAACCCTGTCCAAAAAATTTATAATAAGATCAACGGGACTGTCAACAAACTTGTCAAAGCGGAACTACTGACAAAATATGGTCAATGGAGAATGAGGTCAAATGAACCTATAGTATACCAAAATTACACAAACTGAACTTCCCTCTATGATCAGTTGTTGCACCTCCATGGACCTCTACGTACAATCTTTCAAGAATTATCACAGCCGTTAAAATATCTGACGAACTCATATGATCACTAGATCTAATCTCCAACAACAAATTGAAGGTATCCTTTAATGCTATTGTCCTATTTGCCTCTATCGAACCAAATATAACAAAGGACACTATTCATCCTTCTCACCAATAATACAAATCTTTCAGAATACACCAAGTTTCAATGCCAAAGCCTGATTAATCTCATTGACAACCTACTTCTAACTCGAAAATATACTAAAAAAGGAACTTCAGTGGGTTAACCGATATTCGAATTAATTACGGAAGCATATATGCAGAGGTTGGAAAACTTCGATCCTGCCAATGATCAAACTAAAAATCTGTATACTTTATGTGAACGACACATTCATCATCATCCAAAATTATCATCTGAAAAGTACTAATAATTTGATCAACCGCGTGTTAAACAACTTAAAATTCACATTAGAGGTAGAAACAGACCAACTATCATCATTAAACATGTCAATCACCAGAACCAATATGAAAAAGATAGATGCTCATATATATATATATATATACCGGAAATTAGTTCATACCAATCGGATGCTTGATTACATACCAATAACTTAATGTCTCACAAGATCAGCTGTATACGAGCACTTTTCAAACGAATAACCAGATTGCAGTTATTCGAAAAATAAAGAAATAAAATACCTATTGAATGTATTTCAAAAACTGGCTACACCCCAAATGTTATCTACAAGATAAATTTCAATCAACACCACGTAGGATAAAGTGGATGCCCTCTTCGTCTACATCTATATAACATACACTCGCTCGTGTCAATGCATGTGAACAACAGTAACCATAAGTTCGATTGAGAAAGTATGAAGTTATTGGACAGGAAAAACACGAAAACGACTAAAGAGTTTTTAGACACTTGTAACTATAATTAATCGTTAATCAATATATATACACTAAAATTAATTTAATCTATCGACCAATAAGAAAAAGAATTAACAACTGCAAGGTCAGAGTTCAGGTCAGGAGAAAAAAACACTTATAAACAACTACCATACAATTGTAGATAACAACCAAGTTTCAGATCAACAAAACAGGTTGTTAGCCACTTATGAAGAAATCCTAATAACTCACTTCTAATTGAAGTACGTACTAATGTTGTTGTTCATTAAAACATTAAAAGCTTCAAAACCAGTCCATCAAGCTCAGAGACCTCATCACCTCAAACTTATGACATAGAACTTAGAAACATAAATTTTCACTCCGGTTGACTATCAATTAACAATTAATAATATACCATTTAATTATATGATTCTATAACAACCTTGAATAATTGACATTCCCATCAATGTTAGCTTGTCTAGGTCTTTAGTTCAAAGAGTCTAAGGAATGAAATTTACTGAAAATTTCCAAACATGTTTAAAATATCATAGGGGCCATAATTAAAGTAAATGAGTTCAACTGACTAAGGACATAACTTTGTTAGCATATAATATAATGGTCTTGAGAATTCAAAGTAGAAACTGTTTGTGATGCAGACTAACTATGTATAAATGTTGTTCTATACCTTTAACACTGATTAATTGTTTGTAGAAATTGGCAGATAGTACATATTGAGAGTACTAAGGTCGATAAAATAACTCGTCTATTTAAATTTTTTTGATTGAAATCATGAGCCAATTGAAGCTACATTCCTAGTGACTAGCTTCGTGAGAAAATTCTCGGAGTTCTGGTGAGAAGCCGTGACCAGTGGAGCTAACCCGTGTTGGGTAGAAACAGGTGTCTACCTTAGTACAATGAAAGATGGTCGCGCAATTTCATGGATTGGTTGAGGTTAGACATTAACACCACTGGATGCCGGCTCAATGGTCTAGTTGGTTAAGCGCCTGGCGCGAGACTGATAGGTCCTGGGTTCGAGCCTCGCGGGGTGCGGGATCGTGGATGCGCACTACTGAGGAGTCCCATACTAGGACGAAAAGGCCGTCCAGTGCTTCCAAGTTTTCCATGGTGGTCTAGCTTCAATTGACTCATGATTTCAATCAAAAACTTAACAATCTCCACAACCTCTAAACTGATGATTTAAATTTTCATTTTCAAATACACAAATATACTTTTAATGATATATAAATGAAAATTCTTCATTTGTAGATTTTATTAAACCATTTAAGAATAAACTTTCTTCGTTAGAAATTATATTGAGTTTTTAAACATAAAGATGTTCAATAGAATATAAATGACAGTTACTAACCTGGTTAAAAGATTTTCTGGGTCATTGGTAACAATGAAAAGTGCAAACTTATAGTAAAGTAAATATAATAACACAATGAATAGATATTTCAACATAGGAAGTAAATAAAACTTGATAAAATGAACTAATCAAGCATTATGTAATAAGGGAGGTGTGAATAATCGGTTTAAATATCTGAGTATTAAAAGGGAGATGTAAGAGTTTCAGAGAGAAATAAACAAAGGTATTTCAAACTTGTTTTAAACAGGACTAGATTTATTAGTTCTAATCCCTACAATTCTCATTATACGTATTAAATGCTATCGAGATGAACTGATCAGATTGCAGGTAAATCACTTAGAATACTTTAGTTCCATCTATCACATAGCCATTATCAATCAGTTATAATAAAATGAACCCGGGTATTGAAGTATTCCACGAAGGAAGATGCTCACTTTCTAATTGACTAAATTATCTAACAGTAGGCCTGTAAATATCTTTCTCCACAGATTGATGAACTAAATTGGTCAAATCAAGAAAAACTTTAAAAAAATGACAAGCAATAATTAACTGTGTATGAAGTCATTTTTTCAATTCTAATCAGCCTACCATATAGGAAAACTATCTATATCAACATTAAGATGTAGTTTCAAAAAGAAAGGTTTCTTACGAAAAGCACATGTTTCTGACTCTCTGCTCACTATATGCATATGTCTCCTCATAAACTTTTATCGGTAACCGTTTACAATGAATATATATATAGTCTAACTCCTCTGTTTATGACATTGTCGTATTATATCTTTCTATCTCTGTTTGTAAAACAACTAACCAGATTTCTTTTGTAATGATTAATTACAAAGCTGAAATGTGTGTGTGTGTTTACACCCAGATGAACTTTTTCTGAACACGTTTCTACTGATTGATCCATCTTCTTTCTGTTTAACAAAATGTCAAGAAAATGCAAACTGCTATCATCATACTCTCCCTCACAAATAAACATTAGTGTCGAGTGTACTACTTGTGTGTGTTTTCATAAGATATTTACTCTTCTTAATATATTTGTGCGTATGGCATTGATGGTAGTGACGAAATGATAGTTCAGTCGTTCGACTCTCAATCGCTTACTCTCATGTTCGAGTTCCACACCGTCTTCTTCGGTTTTGAGATTTGTATGTTATCCTTAACCCTCACATCCAACTACTGGATGAAGCAGTTAATTTAGATTTAATGGGTGTATTGTCAAAGCTTCGTATTTGTGAATAACATTCATTGAATGCTTGTTATAACTTGAAGGATAAAAATAAGTTGGGGATTCTGAAGTTATTCACTTTAAGCATTGTATGCTGGCTACTATTACATAAAAAATGCCGTAGAACCAACTTTCATGAAAAACAATTTTAAGCTGAACAATATTATTTCTATGTTAAGCTTAAATAATAATAATAACAGTAAGCTAATATAATGCAAATAGAGTATCATCTACATCTTTCGATAAGGTCCCAAATGCCCTGGTACGGCTGAGGATAAGGAGAGGCTTCTCTCCCTCTCGAAATTCTGTCATGTGGCCACGTACATACAGCCACTACCAGAGAAGTCCTACTCAATGCCTTCTCACGGCGAGGGTGTTGTTTACGAAATTGTGAGGACGAAAAACGAATATCCAGCGTTTTAACCTGGGTTAGTGGATATCGAGGATCCACATAAAAACTCAATTATTTGTGTGGTCTTTTGTATTAATGTTTAAACAAATTAATAAATTCGGTGCACTCCATCGAAGTCATTGAAATTTCAGTTATAAAAATTCTTGTCGTTTATTCATGACACTGTCATTCATTATTTTTAGGTCATTTTGTTTTATTTTGTATACGTTACAGTTTTGTATTTATCTTTTGTTTATCATTTCAAAGTGAATCATTGTGTATTATAGGAATGATCACTTCATTCTATTAGCTTACATATGTTGCACTTATATAAAGGTTGAAACAATGTTAGTACTTTTGAAATTGTCGATCAAACTTCTGATCTGATGACAGGATTTTTGTTACTTCAACTTGTTATGTTGCTGTCCGATAAAGCGGTTAATAATTTGTCAAACAAATGATTCTGTATTATCGTCTTATCGGTTGACCTTTTTTGATGCAAATACCAATAAATTGAACTACTCAAAGATAATGCTTTAAATGTAAGCGCTTTCCAATGGTAGTTCTCTCTTACAAAAATATCGGTCATGAATAAACACTATCTCTAAATTGAATATTGCATGAAACATATATACTTTATTTCACTTGATATTGTTTTACTTGAATCTTCCCATTGATGTTTTAGGACTGAAATTGATCAGTCTCTTATTGGCATATGTGCATACTGTGCGTATGCCTCGATATTGCCTTAATTTACAAGCATTATAAGTAAAGAGTCCCAGAGTGAACATCAACTCTGAGATGCAGGTACATCCAGCTGACGAGTCCCAAACAGGACGAAACGCGCGTCCTGGATTCCACTGCTAGCCACTATCTATCTTTGCTTATATATACTTTATGTTTTGTTTATATGCGGCAGTATAATATTAGATTATATAATTAATCACTACTGAGTCTGTTCCAAAGATAACTCATATTAGCTTAGCAAATTATGTATGTCTTTAAGAGATTCCTATAAGTATATTTTACCTATTTCGAACAGTCTGGTTTTCATGAAATGGAAAATTATTGAGTGTACTAGTCTAGTCTTTATATATTTAATTTATGTTTCATTTCTTGCTTATCTTTTGTCTATTTCTCTCGTTCTACTATATTTTCAGGTAATACAACAAATACACCAGCATATGGTATAACTGAACAAGCTTTGTCTCAAAGTATTGTCGGAACAGATGGTTTTCATGTAGTCGATTTGAGCAGTAAATTGGCTGAAATCGACCGGTATGTTCTCTTAATTATTTATACATTGTTCATATTTAAATCTGTTTATTGTTAAAGCAGTATTGTTAGATTTGGCATAATAATGAATTGTATTTTTTCTGAAAGGCGATGTTTCAGGCTAGAATGGTATGAGATGCTTAAAGTTCCGCTTACATGTTTCTTTGGATTATCATTATCCTCTTTCAAAACTATTTACAGCAATTATAATACAACTTACAATAGATTGTCAACTGGTTCCTGTTTAGTGTCTTGTAGATAATCAATTTTTAATACTTCAATGGTTTTCTGTGAATATGTTAGTAGCATTTTTGATATAAGTAATGTTGTCGCACAATGTATATATAATTCATATTATTAGAATATATGTTTCAGAACCACATTATTGAACTAGATATTAAACGTATGTATGTGCAGACTAGGATTTGTAATATCTTAAAAATTTACTCATTCATCAAGTATTTACAGTATAAGGGCTATACAGATACTACCCGGATTGTCAAACCGAAATATGCAGAGTGGGATTCGAACCTTGAACTTAGTGATTAAAAGTCGAGTGTGTTAATCAATAATCCACTGTGATTATACCACATCTAAAGGACTGGTTCTCGTTTGATTACAGCAGTTAAATAACTTTGAGCCTGCTAAGTATTTTGTAATATCGTGAGTTATGACAGTTAAATCAAACCAATAAACTGAGATTTTCATACAATGGATAGATTTTAACAGCATGTGAAGTTGTGAATATTTTTTTAAAAAACAGTTATATTTATATCCTTTTCTTTCTTAAGGCTTTATCCAGAAATCTCAACATCAGAACAAGCTTCAATGTATTTAGCTGAATTTGAATGTACCTATCCAACTTATCTTCGAATGTATCATTCATTCTCAGATATTTGGAAAACTGTCAGTAATCTACGAAGTCAATTATTAGAAGCCACTAGAACTGAAGGTTTTGATAGTGCTACTACAACCCATTTAGCAAATCAATTAGATAAATTTATACGTCGTTCTCGTTCACAAAAATATCGTGATGATGAAATTCAATTAACATTGATGGTACATAAATTACGATTGTTAAAACAAAGGCTTGCTGTATCACAACACAACAATAATGGTGGTCGTCATCGTGATCGCATTCTACCTGTTACTACTAGTGATGATGTAACAGGTGATAAAATTGATCGTCTTCCTAGGAATAATAATAATAATAATAATAATAATAATAATAATAATAATAATAATAATAATATAAAATCTATTTCAATGAAATCATCATCTAGTAAAGTATCTTCAATGTCTAAGAACAATATTGCTCAATCATCTAATAATAATGAAAATAAAAATAGTAGTCGTCTTATTAATAATTGTTATCGTCAATTACTAACTGATTCAAACGATTATTCAAGTCTACTCCCATGTAATCAAGTTTGAAAGACTACGACTAAATAAGAAGGAATAATACAGCTACAGATTTTTTTCTTCCTTATCATTTTACACCTATTAACAGTGGTAAAACTTAATTCTCTCAAAGATTATGTAGTGTATTTGACTCTCTCTCTCCCTCCTCCTTCTCCCCTCTCTCGTTGTCTTTCGGTTAAATAAGTGTCTCAATTGTCTTGCCAATCTTTTATATCAGTAGTTGTTTCGTGCCGGCTATTTCACACTTCTTATTACTTTTTTTTTTAAAAAAATGTTGTCATGATTGCATTCATGATGTCTGTGGTATTAACCTAGAGAGTAGTTAGTTGAATGATCATAAATCCCCTGTATACAATAAATGGAGCATACACAACATTGTTCATTTTGACTGATATATGTAAGATTTGTTTGTCTCTTTTCTTTGTGTGTGTGTGTTTATGTTTTGTTTGATTTTGTCTTTCGTTTTCTCAATTTATTTTTTTAAATTTACAATAATCTGTGTTATGACTGGTGTCCGGATATATACATATATATGGGGTATCCTGTCGAACTTATATTAACTACTAGTTGTCCAATATCTTTCTTCTGCTTTCTTTTTTTTCAATTACCCTGTGTCTATTATCCCTTGTGTTTAGTTACTGACGTATCCTATACACAGTTTTCTTTTTACAGTGAATTAATGAAACAGAATACTTAAAAAGATAAGTCACATTATATTTACACACAAAAAAAAAATCAATCAGGAAAGCATTCCTTCAATTAATCTTTGGTACCAATTTCTCTCTCTCTCTCACTATATATATATATATATATATATATATATATATATATATATATATATTGGTGTATGAAATAATGGTGTTGGTGTTGTGACCCAATTACTGTGACCTTATTATAAGTCGATGTTATTTTCCAATTAACAAAACTATTTGTGAATAATCTATTGTTACTATGATCACTAAATAAGCATTTCCTATTCTAATCTACTCGGAAACAAAACTGATTTTGAATAAGTCTATAAACTCTACTAATTGACATATATATTTCATATTTTAAAAAAAAAATGTAGTGAGGCATTTATTACCTTACATTTCATAAATAAATTAATTAAAAATTTCTTTTGTCCATGGTCTTACTAATAAAATGTATTAAGATGCCTAATTCTATATATATATACATGAATTATATGTATAAGATGCCAAGATGTATCTGTATTATTTCTTTTCTCTTTTGTTGTTACGGTTGTTGTTGTTGTTGTTATTATTATTATTGAAAGATTAGTGAATTACTTAGTCAGTTTTTTTTTCTCCCAGTTCACCTCTATAATATGTTCGTTGAAATTATCGACATTCAGTATGTTATACAGATAGATTTATCCGCTCTGTGACAGTGTGTACACATGTTTATTTATCATGTATGTTATTTTAGATCTCTATTTTTCTCTATTCTAGACTTTAAATTCCCGTGATTATTACAACTGTTTTGCATTCCATTATTAAGCAATTACATATGAATAGTTGATTGTAATTATGCTTCCCTTGCCCGCCTCCACCGAGTCTTCCTTCCTTCATAATGTTCATATGTTTGTGTATGTACAAGAGAGATAGAGAGAGAGAAGAGATTTAGTCTTTTTAACATGTTCTTGTAGTTATGGTTTATTGATCTTCGATATTATTATTATTATTATTATTATCGCTTTTAATTCATTTGTCCGGTGACTTGAAGTTTGCTATCTCTTCACATTTTCGCGACTACAAATTCTCATAATGATGTATGTATTTACCAATAACATTATTGTTCATAATGTCGAATGGAGTTTATTTCACTTTTTATCCTATTGATAGTTGGCTTATGCTGTCTCTCTCTCTCTCTCTCTCTCTCTCTCTGGTATTCTTCAATTTCAGTAAGCATTTCATCTAAACAGAGTTAAAAATCTATTTGTTCACTTATGATAATTGTTGTATTATGTCTGTTAATTCTTTTTCTGTCACTTTTCCTTTCCCTAACAAACGTATTCTCTTCTTTATTCCTCATCTGTTTGTATTATTTCAACGCTACGACTACTTCCGTTCACATGTGTGTGTGTGTGTGTATTTCCTATGAAAGTTAATAACTATTGTAATTTGTTGTGATGTAATTAATCGGTCTTTCATAGCGCATTATACTTATTATGTTAATAATGCAACAGTTAAAATCTACTTAATCGTAAGTCTGATTTTCTGTTTCTCTTCTTTTTTTGTTGTTGTTGTGATCATATCGTTACTATGTCTCTTTCTCTCGCTCTCTGAACTTTTTCCATCCGCACACGTACACCCACACACACACACACACATACTACGTACATTTGTCCTATTTTCTATGTAAATATTATGATTATTTATTTTGGTGTTATGAATAAAATGGTGGTTCTACCTATATATGAATGTCAATTTCATATTGACTGAATTGATTTGTTTGTTTCTTTTTCTCTCTCTTTTTTTAACAATAAAACAATATTTTTTTGATGTTTATTCAATAAGGTATAAATAAATGTAAACAAATTAAACAAGCAATTTCATACTTATGATATATATATATTATCAGAATGGGTTTTGTGGAGAGTTTTAGAAATTTCATAGGTTGAAATCATGAGTCAATTGAAGCTAGACCACCATGGAAAACCTGGGTTCAAATCAAGCGGGATCGTGGATGCGCACTGCTGAGGAGTTCCATACTAGGACGAAACGGCCGTCCAGTGCTTCCAGGTTTTCCATGGTGGTCTAGCTTCAATTGACTTATGATTTTGACCTATGATATATATATATATATATACATAATGTGAATGAACGTGGACACTGTTTTTGTGATTTCTTTCAACAAAGAAAAAACTAATTAGAAATTGATGAAAAGTATAGTCTATCCGTACAGTTGGTGTTTATTCTGTTGTACTTCGGGTTATATACATGATACTTTAATTAGTTGGTAATTATTTAGGTGAGACTATACTTTATAGACGAACCAATCAGGTATAAGATAGAAGGTCTCGACTTTTGGCACGAAATTTACTCATCCATTTGGTTAAATAGATTTATAGCTGATGTCAGTTAGTGATGAAAACCCTAACTCTGATTTCTAATCTTAACCATTAAATGTAAATCATAATTCGAGTTCGTCACACTAATTTATAACCCTAATTCGGTCGTAGTTATTAAGTGGACACTCACTCTTAAGGTCAGTTTAGCCTCGCTTGAAGGTTGTTCATAAATTATAGCCTTGTCATTATTTGAATTTAATTCAGCTGTTTGTACTTACACTACATCTGTACAAATTAAAGATTTGGTTGTGTATTAAGATTCAAATTATTATAAAAGATGGTCAGTTATTTATAGTGTTTTGAATCTACATTGATAAAATTAAGAATAATCCTTGTTTAGTGCTATTCTGTTAAACAAGTTAATCAATTCCAATAAGAAATTGAGCACGTTTTTTTCGGTAATGCAGTGAGAAGGCCAAAGTTATCAGGATTATGCCATAGATATTTGCGCAATACACTTCAAACAATCTGATTACACGTATACTTAGTGACTTTTCAGAAGGGGTTTTGTGGATATTATAGCAATTTTAATAGTTGGGATCATGAATCAATCGAAGCTAGACCACCATGAAAAACCTGAAAATACTAGACTACCGTTTCGTCCTATTGTGGGACTCCTCAGCAGTGCTCGACCTTACCTCACGGGATTCGAACCTAGGACCTGTCAATCTCGCGCGCGAATACTTAACCTTTAAACCATTGAGCCGGCCGAGATCCAACAGTGTTCATGTCTAACTCCAACTGATCCACGAAATTGAGCAATACATCCACCAGTGTTTTCAGAGTTTTATCAATAAATGTAATTTTATTATTGATTGAAACAAGAAACTTTTGGAATTAAATAATGAATTACTAGGGTTGATTATAGAGATAAAAAAAATAAATTTCTACGAAATCTCATAACAAAAGGTTCAAAACTCTAATTTTGAAAGACTCCAAATGATGCTTACTTACGATGGGAACCATGCTCGAAATAGTGTTTACAGAGGACTAATTTACTTAAAAGTTAGAGGTTTTTCATTGTACAGTGGTGAATAATATCTCGAAAAAATCTTTTTAATAATAGTACAAGCTATGTCATTTATATATAAATATTTAGTTATGGTGATCTTAGGATACCTGGGCATGTGATTTGTTACGATTTGGGATCAGCTGATTGTAAACTTATTTGCATTTATTATATATTACTGGGAATTAGTTTTTGTACGAATGTCACACTCACTGTTTGTGTTTGTTGTTATAATTGATTTAATTCAAAGTGAGATTTATGCATAAATTTTTGATTTCTGTTGAACTATGGTTATTTATTTCAAGTGTATGAGTACTATTACAAGTTGTTTCAGTCGTAAGAAACATAGAATCTTGCACATATATACATTGATTCAATTTGTCCCGCATCAAATTAACACAATAAGATGAAATTGTCAAGATAAATTCTACAGTAGTAGAAGTATTAACAGTAATAGGTGAATACATAAATCGTAAACAAGATATTTCAATAGAAAAAATGAATTCACTAAATAAAAAGTATGATTAGACTATATCTAATTTGGAGAAGTTTGAGTTATACTGTTGTTGATATTTTGACTGAGATTCGATCAGTCTTAGTTGGCATATGCGCAGATTGTCTTCATATAGCCATTATAACATAATTTTACACAATAGATAGGATCTAGGTAGCAGCGGGATACAGTAGGCTCGTTTTGTTCAATTTTGGGACTTGTCAGTTAAATATACCTGCACACTGCCATGCAATAGCCGCCAAAGGTTTTAGAACCTTATGGTCAATACGTAGGGCTTTTAGTCATGTCGACGCTAAAACGTTTTTGACTTTGTATACAATGTTCGTACGTCCTAAACTTGAGTACTGCATACAAGCAGCTAGCCCCTGCTTGAAAAAATACAGAGAGCTTCTGGAAAAGGTTCAGAGAACAACAACTAGGCTGATTCCCGAAATAGCGAAGCTTCCTATGATGCTCAACTGGCCAAACTAAACCTTTTCCCGTTGTCATATCGTAGAACTAGAGGCGACTTGATTACAGTTTTCAAATTGCTTAGTGCCAAATTCGCACCTGAGATGCCCTCATTTTTCTTGTCTTCCAAAACAGAGAATTTACGAAGACAGTCCAAAACGTTCACAAGCCCAGAACAAATTACTTGTCAGCTGACTATCGACTTTCCCATCGAATCGTCAAAGAGTGGAATTCACTACCTCAGCACGCGGTTGAGGCTCCGTCCGTCGACTCTTTCAAAAGAAAGTTGGATCAACTGAGAGACCACCATTTCCAGGACTAACACAGGCCATCAAGCTTCCTGTCCTTTCCAAACTGAAACTGATATCCAACATAAAACGTGACACATATGCGTCAGCTCGAATTGTCATAACAGCGGGATGAAAGCATCAAGACAAATCACAGAGTAGTGGAAGTGGCAGCAATATTGGGAGTAGTAGACAATAATGAGTGTAGAAAAAGGAAGTTATAAGATTTTAGTGTTCAGAAACTAAGGAAGGACGAAGAATGAATACATCTGCACCACTACTTATAACTCAATATTTATCGCTTTTTACAGAAAAACAAAGCAAATAAAACAATTTTTCGTCATTTATGCACTCGTCAGCACGTGCATATAATCAAGGAGCTTCTTTACAGTTATTACTTTGATATGCCTCAGATCGTAATGAAGTTTTATTAAAGAAGTTAAAAGATTTTATTATTAATAATGAAACAACCTTTCCTAACCTTTATCCAGTTAATGGGTTTTTACTGTTATCTTTATGTTCGATTCAGAAAATATCCTCTCTAGTTTATAAATATTCGTTCTTTTTCAGGACTTGACTTATTTTTATTTACTGGATTTATATAATCGGATTAGAGCATACAATTGTCAATTATCATTTATGCATAAAATTGTGTCATTTATACTTTTCATATTTTCTTAATTGTCCTAAACTTATATTGCCCCAGTTAGACAAACTTCAAATCAAACAATTGCTGTTTCTTTCAATGGGGTAAGCAAGTGTTTTATAATTTAGGTAGATTTAAATTCAAGGTTTTAAACTCTGTTGTTTTTTTTTTCAACGACAGCTTATTGGTTATGGATCTGTTGGTGAAATTGATCGTTTTATTAAAATAGGGATATCAAATAACTCTGAGTGTATGTCCTTAAGTGTTCAGGGAATAGAAATACTGTATTGATGCGTTCACTGCGAAAAAATTCCGATGTTCAGGTTGATCTTGTTCCTTGTGTATAATTGTTTTCTGTCTTTTTAATGGTACCTTATTATTATTTTTGGATCATTACCACGACGCGCAATGCTGACTGGTGTATGGGATGGTTGGAAGGAAGTTAGTGGCGGCTAAACCAAAACGTGGCATCAGTGCTTGAAATCACTAACTTCTAATCTGAGCCATGTTGGTAGATGCAGACTACATAGTTGGGGTCCGTATGACTATCGTAACCAATGGTTGGAGGCTGTAGGTGACACGGCTCAGAATCGATCACAATGGTGTCGGTGTATACTCTCTTTGTTTTCCTTTAAACTATGAGATTAAAATTATTTCATATCTTTCTACGAACTAACTCTTCCTTCCTGTACTCAATCCGTATAAGCAATCTTTCCTTTATATATCACCACCACTGAATAAACCACTTCTATGGATCTGGTGTCCATTTTGCTGTATTAATGAGGTATGACGACTTGGATCGATACATATATGTGCCTGGTTCTACGTTGTAGCTGACTGACTGGTCTTTTTCAACTGTTCTTTTATGAAGCATAATAGATGAAATATGTTTATGACTTTGCAGCTAAACATGTGACAATTGTCCTATCCTATGTTTCTGTTAAGGAATTCTAAGAATTTGTTCTTTCAAACGAGCAACCATATGTCCCATAATATTATTGGTATCAGGTTTATAGATTGTGATTAAGTTAAAACATGATAGTAGTGTATCACAAAGATCTTTCTGCTGCCATTATTAGAATTAGTGACGAATTGTAGCTCCTTATATGTGCTTGAGGCATTTAGATTTGATTGACCCATCAACAATATCAATTGAACTCTACTCAATAATTATTATTGCTTATCAGTGGTATGTCAAACGATATCCTGTTAATACTTGCCCACTTTTTTACTTCAATTAGTAGGCATGTTAACCTGTTAATCTACTTGTTCTTGGGGTGCACCCACAAAGCAAACGCCTTTTTAACACATCTCATAGCATTACTCTAGATGACCTACAAGAAAAATGAAAAACAGTCAAAAGTTTATTTCTGGAGCATCTTGTCAATTATAGTCGTATTGCTTCACCGGGGTTATCTTCCAAATTTATTTATACAGTCAAACAAGTAGGTACAAACGGAATGCAAATCAAAAACGTAAAAGTTACAGTGATTTTAGCAGTTTACCAGTTCAAGCCTAAACGTTTAAGCTAAAGTATCTAGTTTAACAGTGACCTTGTCAACTGTTCTAGTTTTTCATATCCGCTACTCAAGTATTATTACCCTCTTCCAATTTTTATAACTATATTTATTATTTCGACAGGTATCCCCATAACTCTGAACTGTAAACTATTTTAATGATACAATTTCTCCTTAAACTTTAGACAATTATGCAACTTGTTCCATTCGGAAAAAGTTACTCCTCTAAATTGTTTTGATTTCTTCAGTTACAATGAATGGCATCGAAGTAAGTTAGAAGAAAGTTGAGTGCTGACTGATTAAGATATACCATCAGTCTGCGAAATCATTGACCTGAGCCATATCACTAGGTCTAGACTTCCTGATCGGAATAGCTGAAATAATCATAATTCATAGTTAGAGAAGTTAAGTAGTCCGGGAGTCGAACTCAGTATCAGTGGATTATCCACTTAGCTATTGAGTCTAAATATCCACTTACCTGTGCAACGAATATGAATTAAAGTTTAGTCTGTAACGGTTTATTTTATCCCACCATTAATTAAATTTCATCTATTCTGTGTAAACTTGTGTTACAATGGCTAATATCGAGGCGATCTTGTCTAAATGCACAGACAAACTAATACTTGTCAAATCTTAATCAAAACACTAACAACAACATACAAGTATTCACTGTTGAACCTCTTCCTACCCGTATATTAAATATTAGTTACATTGAAATTAGATAAGATAATCATTAGTTGGAAGGTGCATGACCATTTAATCTTTCCTTCTAATTAGTTAATCTTAGTTTATATTCATTCTACTGTGTCTGACTTTTCTAGAAATAGAGCAGTAATTTGTATCAACAAATATCTTATGATGACATGTGTTTCCCTCCGACAAAATATCCAGTTTTTTTCATTTTTATAAGTAGTATGGCTTTCTTCTTCTTCTTGATAAGTAACCTCATTGAATAAGGTAATGACCTCAAAATCTCTTTGTAATTAGCCTATGTCAATTAAAAATATGTTAACAATAGGAAGAATGCTGTAAATGTCTAGATTATTGAGATATTTTCCAAATTATTTTTTTACAGATTAACAATCAGTGAAATATCATTTATCATCTCAATAATAATTATACTCGATAAGTTTTAATAGTTTCACAGTTTAAATCAATAATCGATCCTAGCTAAGTCACCACTGGTAGTCTAGAACTATCGAATGGCCATTTTATCCTTGTATGCGCCTCCTCAGTACGTGTCCACTACCCAGGTAACGGGAATCAGACTCAGGACCTTCGGTTTGGCATGCGAACACTTAATACTTTGACCACTGAGCAGGCATCTAATTGTGTTCATGTCTAACTTCACCTAGTTCACATTATTTCCCAACCTTCATCTATTGCCTGCTATCCTTATGTCGCGATATTAATCTAATTATCACTGGTGAGTAACTGACTCACTGCTCTCTTCAATAACTATATAGTTTACGGTTTCTCACTGAAAGGTCAATCAAAAGTGAATTACTGACACAATGATTTAAGGGTATCGTGTTCCATAAAATATATGGATCTTCTTCGTTTCTTGTTATGTGAGCACTGGTGTGAGGTGCTCCCTAAAATGTCATTCGATACTAGAAAGACCATATGATACATCATGGCCATTTGATAAGTGGGATGGGGGTGTGGGCTAATTATTACAGGCAGATGAATTATTTATCTAGTCGGGGTCATTGCTCCTATATCTCTGACTAAGCCATTCCGGCGACATTTATTTGAATAGATTGTAATCATATTTATTCAACTTTTTACAGTAGAACTTCCTCGACAGTCGTTGTCTTTTATATCTACATAGTATGGTCGGTCAGTAGTTGGAAAAGTACATATTGGCCGAATCTGACTTCAGATTATAATAGATTTTACCAACAACCATTAATCATTGAAATGCGGATAGAAAATGAAGAAGTTGATGTAAATATCAAGACAACATTTCAAATATTTTTTTCAGGTGCATTTTGAGGCAGAGTAACTGAAAATAATCAACATGATGGCTCAGGCTTTAACACTCCAATTAAGTGTATTACTGTGGTCTGATTTGGTGAAATCTTCAGGAGATTCAAAGACCTACCTTATTGTAAAGTTTCATTTTGATTACTATGTAGGTAGAAAGTTCAAATATTAATTTAATAGAGGTGAAGATATTTTCTGAATTAATCTTCAACATGAGATATTACCTCATCTGGTTGATTTAGGTTGGACATTAACACAGTTGGATTTTGGCTCAATAGTCTAAAGGTTAAGCGTTCACGCGCGAGATCAAAGGCCCTGTATTCGAGTCTCACAAGCGAGATCGTTGATGGGCACTGCCGAGGAGTCCCACAGTAGGACGAAACAGCTGTCCAGTGCTTCCAGGTTTTTAATGGTGGTCTAACATCAGTCGGTTCATGATCTCAATCAAAAATATTACCATATCGTTCGTCAAAAATTGGGTGTTGAAGACTATAGAAACTATAGAGAAATCATTGAAATGTTTAGTGTACAATACGTTGAGTTTTATTTATTTTCCAATTCTCTCAAAAATAAAAAAAAATTAAGAAATTGATTTTGTTACTTTAGTAACAATTACTAATAATTTGCTCGAGTAAATTGAATTAACTTACCTATTAGCTTATCCTTATGATTCAGATATTTACACATTCAATAAAACTTATATGTAACGATTAGAATGGAAATACTTATAAGCGTACAAGTTTTTAGAATGGCAAGGTTCAATACTGTTCAAATAAGTGGATTCTGCCAACATACTGGATTATAGCAACTCACGTGCAATTGAGTATGTTCTCATTTAACTCGGTTAAGCCCTTTTGTTAACTTATTTAGCGGACAAAGTCATCCGTACTATAACAACTTATTATACCTTTATTATTGTTGTGCTTGTATGAAATATGTATACTTGAACATTGCTTACGGCCTACGCATGTATTCATTCTGCTAGCTTTATTATTAGCTGCTTAATTGATTCGATGATCCATTCATTTCCTTATATATGTATACGTACATTTAATCCTATATACATTCTCGACTCGCTGACTCACTCATTCGCCTCTCTGCTAAGCGGTCTGAGTTATCTGCTAATAAAACTTTGGTCGCTCCTTCCCTTTGCCTTCTGATTTCAAACACCGTTGAGGATTATATGGTAACGGTTACGATAGTGATTGGTCAACGAAGCACAGCCACTACAGGTTTTAAATCTCATTGTAAATGTTAATAACCAAATTACCAACTTCAGTTAATTATTATATGATTTTCGTTAGAGTTTGACATGAATTTCATGAAGCAAGTTTCTATTGAGCAAATAATTGTATAAAAAGCCATCTAGTGGATTGATGAGAATTAATCGATTAATCAACTGTGTAGCATAATTTAATGGTTTAATAGTCAGGCTGAAGGTCCTGGGTTCAAGTCCTGTATGTGGGATTGTGGATGCGCACCAGTGAATAGTCACACACTAAGACGAAACGACCATCCAGTACTTCCAGGTTCTCAATGGTGGTCTAACATTGA